GCCCTGGCTCTCCCTGGTCAGCTTTTCTATTTCAGGCTGGTTGCACCTCCCTTAGGGAATTCTCAGCGAGCTCTGGGAAACCCAGACGCTCAAGTGCTGGGTGGACCAGCTCTGTGTGCACTTCCCCCCAGCGAGGGCTGCACCCCAGGCCGGCACACTGCTGGCGTCAAGGTCACCTCTTTCCCCAGATTATGTGTCCCCATCGAGAATTTTCCCACCTCGTGACCCAGTCAGGGCTCCTGGATCTTATCCCACAGAAACAGCCTGAAGTCATGAAAGCCTGGGACCTACCCGGACACGCTCTGAGGGCTCCCCAGCAGTGGTGGGAGGGTGACAGAAAGTGCCCCATGAGGCCACATGGAAACACTAGCGATGGCTACCAGTGTGATGGCAGACTCAAAGCAGCTGTGCTGACAGCTGGGGGACTCGGCACGTGCCGTCCCCGGGGTTCCCAGGGCACTTGGGACACATGGTGGTAGGTTCTGGAGGCCAAAGGAACAGGTCCCGCCCCAGCTGCCATTTGCTGTGTGACCCTGGGCAAGTCGTGAGGCTCTCTGAACCTCCCTTTTCCTCATCTGTAAAACTCAGAATTGCATACAACTGTGTGTGGGATTTAATGAGACTATCAAAATGCCTAGATGAGTGAAAGGCACACAGTAGGTGCTCAGGAAGACCAACTGTGGTGGTTTTTAATAACATGGACAAATGGAAATGGTTTGACATGACAGGGCAACAGAGTTGGGATAGTAGCAGTTGATTTACTTTCCTTAAAAATGAGTCTGTCAACCTGACTGCACAACTCTGCTCTCCCCAGCCCCCGAGAAAAGTCTAAGGCCTTTGAAGCTCCGCTGGCCTTTGCACCCCTGATTGCCATCTGCCTGCACAGGAGGCACTTCGTTCCCACTTGTAGGGACCCCTCTCTGACCAGGGGGATTATGCCCAGATCGCAGTGGGGAGGAGATTTGCAGACGGGAACAGGTGGGGCCTGTTTTTGGAAGTGGGAGCCGCATTCCAGGGATTCCAGCTAGGCAGCCACCCAGAGTCAGGCTGGTGCCCTGTGCACCCAGCACCACCTGGAGGGGGCTGTCTGGGGACACCAAGGCCTGGAGTCCATGAAGGGCAAAGGCAGACAGACTTAGCTGCGGGGACTTTGAAGCAAGTGAGGATAGGTTTAAATCCAATAGGAAGTGAAAGCAGACGTTGCAGGATTCATTCATTGGGAGGGTCTTTATTGAGTACTTGCTGTGTACCCTCCTGCCAGCAGGCACTGCAGCCTGGATGGGCTATCGCTGCTCCCATGAGCCCACAGTAGTGAGCAAGGGCAGGAAGGGGTGGGAGCATGGGTTCCGGAGGAAGGCTTCAGGTGACTGTCCTGGCTCCCTGCAAAGACAGATTTTCAGCTCTAAAACGGAACAGTGCCGGGGAAAATGGACAGCCAGTCACCCTAGAGATGGGCGACCTAGAGGTTGGCTTAGAGACAGTGGTCCCAGGATGGGAGGCGACACAGGGGAAATGCAGCTGGGGGTGCTCACCGGCTGGGGGAGGAAGGCCCTGAAGGGATGGGTGCGTGGGGGAGGAGGACACATGGGCCAAGGCCAGGGAGGGAGAGAGTTCAACATCAGGAGGATCCCCCAAGAACACAGTCCATGTCAGGAGGTGACGCATTCTTCCTGGCTAACCTGCCCTTTCTGTACCTGGGAAACTGAGGCCGGGGGAACGAGAAGGGTGGGGGCACCGTTAGGACTAGAAATGGCTTTCTGGATGGCAGGGCTGAGGGCAGCCAACCTGACTCAGGGTAGCTGAAGGCCCACTGGGACCCATGGGGTGGTGGGCGAAGGCCTGTCCTCATGGGCCATGGGGAACTGGGGGGAAGGGAGAGCAGAGCCCAAGGAGGGGGAAACAGGGATGTACATCTCCCAAACCACGGAAAAGGTACCAGGGGCAAAAGAATTTAACACAAAACAGCACTCACCTGGGCTGGTGGAAGCCCTGGGGTCTCTAGACAGCATCAGCTGCCCCCTGGAATGGTGGTCCCGCGGAGGCGGCCGTCCTGTCTGGAAATCCAGAGAGCAGCTCCTGAAAGTCCTGCTGCGGGGCACCCCCTGTGCCCCTGTCTGCCACGACCCTCCCTCCTCCACTGCCACTGGAATCCAAAGCTCTGTGCTTGGCCATTGAAGGGCCGGTTGTCCCCACCCAGCTGCTGTCTGCTTTGGGGCCATCGCAGCATTCCTGCCACGTGGTCTCTCCCTCTGCCACTGCGCAGCCAGCCCTTGGGTTTGGAAGTCCACCGTCCCTGACGAAGTATTTATTGCTAGGTGACAAAATATGGTTTTTCAAGCTTCAAGTCCTATTAGGTGGTATTCTTAGTTTCAGCTCTGTCACTGCCATAGACCCTTGCTGATTGTTCCTGCTGACAGTTTGCTCTCTTCTTTGAATGCCCTCAGCACTTGCTTCACTCACTCATCCATCCATCATCCACCCACCCACCCGTCATCCATGCATACATCTATCATCCATCCATCCATCTACCCACCATCCTTCCATCATCATGCATCTATCCATCTATCAATCATCCATGCATGCATGTATCCATCATTCATTCACCTATTCATCAATCCATCCATCCATTCATCCATCCATCCACCCACCATCCTTCTTTCATCCATGTATCTATCCATCGATCCATGCATCCATCTACCCACCACCCATCCATCCACTCATCGTTCATCCACACACACATCTACACACCACCCGTGCATGTATTCTCTACCCCTCACCCATTCATCTGCCATCCACCCCACTGGCACCTCTGAGTGGGTTGTGAGGTCTGGTGGCTGGGAGGGCAGGTTCTGCCTTGAGCTAGTCCTGACTTCATGCTGTGCCCACTGCCTGTGGATCCGTGGGGAGCTTCTCAAACTCTCTGAGCTTTGGTGTCTTCATTGTGACAGGAAACAAACGCATCCACTTCTCAGGTTTGTTGTGAAGGTGCCAGAGGTAACACATGTAACAAACGTACTTGAGAATCAAGCACACAGATGCTCCTCCTTGGCCTCCTCTCATCCCATGCCACCCGCCAAGGGCACTGGAACAAGCCTGGTGGAAAGATCCGGGTGAGTGGGGACAGTGCCCAGACAGGCTCATACTGTCTGGTTGATGGGACAGCCTTAAGAAATATATTTATAAAAAGTATTCACAGAGACAGGTTCATTTACAAATTAGCTCCCATTAGCCAAAGCACAGGTAATGGTAAAAATCATACCTCTGAAATGTTTTCCCTTTCTCTGTAGTTTTTATTCACTCTCCCATTTCCACCTGTGATTTTTCTGAGCTGGACGTCATTACTGGAGGGATACAAAAGGATTTAAATCTTAGACAATAGAGCAAATCACCTGTTTAACTGCTCTACCTACTGTTATTTGGTTTCAGGATTTTAGCTATGACTGCAGGGATGGATTGCAAAACACTCCACAGAGTTAGAGGGTTTTTTGTTTTTCACTGGAAGATTCTATCTCTGCGTGTGTGTGTGTGTGTGGGGGAGGCAGGAGATGAGAACAGTTTACCTGGGAACCTGGTTTTTCTGAGTTCTGGAATCAGGATCTTTATCCTGCTCTTCCTGGAGGGTTGGGGAGTTGGGAGTACTTTTGATTTGGGCTGGGATCTGGGGTGCACAGTTTGAGGGTGGCGTTAGGTTAGAGGAGGAGGCCAGTCTGGTAAACTACGTCAGCAATTTGGATTTGGACCCAAGCGCAATGGGAAGGCAGTCTGAGTCTTAAAACAGCAGGGGACAGATCAGAGATGGGGTTTAGAAGTTCTGACTGCACTTCAGAAAGGTTTGGAAAAGCCCAGCTGGGAGATGGGACCAGGGTGGGATGGAGAGAAGTGGATGGATACGAGAGCTGACAGGTGATGGGGGGCTATCTCGGAGGGCTCCTTTCTAGCCGAAAAGCCAAGCGGATGAGATACCCTTCTTCATTTAGAACTGGTTTTATTACCTTCCATGGACACTGCCTCTGGCACCTGGGCATCTGGCCTACCGTGAGTAGGTCTCCTGGGCACAGAGGTCCGCAGGGAGCTATGCACTTTGAAGCCCCTGCATCCCCCTTGGGAGGGGAGCTCCTATGACACAGACGCACCTCGGCTCCCTGGGCAGATCCATTTCAAATGCTCGGTCCTCTTGCCTGCACTGTTTCCTGCTGATACCACAGTGGGTGTTCCTAATTTTAATGGGAAATAAGGGACATCATCTTATCCTACCCACAGGCCTGGGTTGGAGAAGCGGAGACCACGGCCACTTACAAGACTCTAAGAGCAAAACGGGTAGCAGGCGTGCGGCACTGGGGGACAGCGCACAGGGTTCAGGGCCGGAGCCCGGCTCCAGCCTCTGCTTGTGCCTGGAGCCCTCCCCTCTGGGCCGACTCCCCACCCCCCGCAATCTGTCACGTCAGGTGACGGTGCTGTGAGGGCTGACTCCGGTGGGGGGCTCGGCAGAGTGGCAGGCGCGCCCCGGGCGCTGGGCAGGGAAAGCGGACGTCCAGGAGGCTCCGCGCAGGCCCCCCGTTGCCAAGTGGCCAGGTGCGGGTCCCTGGGCGCAGGGGGGTCCCGGGCTGCAGCGGAGACACGGCGGGAACTCGGCCACGCCGGGCCCAGACGCGTGCGCCGCCGGCACTCGGGGACGCCGTCCTGCAGGGCGGTCCCAGAAGAGAGGGTAGGGCCCGCCGCCCCCCAATCCTGGAGCGGCGCCCCTACAGGGCGGGCATAAGTTGTGAACGTGCGAGGGGCACCGAGCACTTTCCCGTAGGTACTTCAGGTTCTGGAAAGTTCAGGAGCAGACGGGCCCGCACCGGCCAACTTCAGGGTTAGCGCTTTTCAGCAAGAAGCCCGCGCAGCACCTGCCCCTTTAAGGCGTTGGGCCTGCGCGAAGGCTTCTGCTCCTCGCCGCTCCCCGTAGCGATCCTCCTAAACACCGGCTTTGTGCGCCCGCCCCTCCCGACGCCGCCCCGCCCCGCGCACGCGCAGGCGCACTACCGGCACCACCCCTGCGCAGCCTCGTCGAGCTCGGCCCGGCTCCCGCCCAGGCGGCGGCGACGCGACGCCACGAGCGCCCGCCCGCCCGCCGCTCCCGGCAGGTAAGCGCGGCCGTCGGGCCGGCGAGACGCTCCGGGGCGCGGCGGGGCCAGCCGCGCCTCAGGCTGCCGAGCCGCCGCACGTGTTCGGCGGCCTGGCCTCGCTGGCCCTCTCGGGGCTGCGCCCCCGGCTCCCCGCCTTGCCTGCGGGGCCAGCCCTGCGCCCCCCGGCCCCGCCGCGCCCCCTCCCGGAGCCCGTCCTGTGTCCCCACCCCAAACGGCCCCCGCAAGCCTTCTCCGAGGCCGGGGTTCCCCGCCAGCCGCCCCCCCGCCTCGCTCTTCCCCGGCGGCCGAGTGACAAGCCCTCAGCTCGGGGGACTGTGGCTTCTGCAGCCAGCGTGCATCTCGCCTTGTTCTCTGCGCCTCCAAAGAAAAGACCCCAGGCCCATCGGGCCAGACCCACCCGCCTGCTGTTTTCTGCTGCAGAAACGCCCCCCACTCCGACCTGCCGCTCACCCCTCTGCCCGAGGCTCCATCTCTCCCGAGAGTCCAGGGCGGGGTCCCCAGGTGCAGGGCCGCCGTCTCCAAGGGAGAGGACACCCCAGGCTCCTGCTGGGGAGCCTCAGACTACTTCTAGACGAGTCTGCAGAGCCATTTTGGGTGATGTAAGAGACGCTCCCCCCACCAGCCTTCTCATACCCGTTTCTGCCCACCCAGGTCCGTTTAACAAGCTTGTGGAACTCTCTGGCGGGTGGTGTGCTGGACACCGCCTCTGAGGTTGGCCAGCCCCCCGGAAGGCGGATAGGTAAGCTGGAACGGAGGCGTTTCTCAGAGTTGAGGTGGGGAGAGCGGCATTCCCCCACTTACCAGGTAACCTCCTGAGTTCCCACAGCTGGGTGGCCCGGTCTGCATTTTACAAGCCCTCCAGGAGAACCCCTGGCGGTTCTGGAGGCTTGGCCTTAGGTGCTCAGGCTCACCTGGGCGAAAAGTCTTTAGGGGTTAATAGGTAGCATGTGCTCTGAAGGCCGACTCCAAATCGCCTTTCCTGCAGCCAGATGGTATTCACCTTCTCGGACCCTCCCTAAGGGGCTAATTCCTAACCAGCTTCTCAGTTGTCTCAGAAGGACTGTTGGAAAGAATCACCTGCGTGTTTATGGAAAATGTAAATCACTCCCTCTTAATCTCTTACATTGGAACTTGTGTTGAATCAAATTGTATTTAAGTGGTGAGCTGGGTTTTTGCGTGTTATTGTTTTGCTCGCCGAAGGGTCGGGCACGTTTTTTTTAAGACTATTATATCCCCTGGTCCTCACCTAAGGGCAGCCAGTTTGTGGGAGTCACGCCCCACCTCCTGGTGGGTCTCAGTGTTTATGTTGAAGGGAACTGTTTTGGGCCTCCAGAAATGTCCTTTTCGCCGCACAGGAACCCTCTTCTGTTTTCGCTGGTGTGTCTTTCGGGCAGGCCACAGGTTGCATGTGTCTCAGGTCTCAGGTGGTCTGGCTTCCTCAAAGCTGAGTTTCGTGAAGCAGACTTCCCAGCTCCCTTCGTCTGCCTCTCTTGACCCCACTTTTCCAGCCCACCCCAGGGAAGGCAGCACTGGGCTAACTGGCACGGCCAGGTTATCCTAAAGGTAGTCACCAAGTGGCTTGCATTTACGAGCGCCAGCTTTTGTGCCAGCAGTTTGTCCCCTGGTGGGCTTACCCCACCTGGCTCTGTAGGTACTTGGGCTTTGGGTGCAGGTGGGCCAGGTTCCTTGCTGCAGTGTGAGAGCTCTGAGTAGCCAGTTGCACTTAATTTCCCCTCCTCCTGGATGAAGACTTTGAGACATGCTCTTTTGTGCTGCCTTACATGTCACCTGGTGTGGTAAGGAGCCCGTGCTTGCAGTTTTAAACACCCAGCTAGAACTTACAGTGTGTCAGCTCAAAAGATTAATAGTGGCACTAGCTTCCGGGGTTGAATGGCCAGTGCTGTTGGCAAGAACACCTCGGTGCTCCCCTGTTGAGCAGGCTTTCCCTGGTTCACAGTCTGCTGGTGTGTGTCTGTCAGGCACGTCCAGGCGAGGGTCTGTTCCCGTGTGGGAGAGAAGTTGCTTCCCGTGCAGCCTCTGGGTAGCTCCCCTCAGCTCGGGGGGTCCTGACTGAGGCAGCCTCCCCTCCTGTGCAGTGTGAGTCTCTGCGCTTGCCAGCTGTGTCGTGCAGATTCCTCCCAGGGACAGCCTTTCCAGCAGGTAGTCTTCTGGCCGTGGCCTCGTGTCTGTAGCCTGGGACAGCGAAGCCTGGGGAGGTTGGGCCACTGGGGGCTGTTAGCATGGTCGCGTCTCCTGGGATACATCTGAGGAGTTGGGTGAGTTCCCGAACTTCTAGACCGTGAGGCTCAGTCTTCTATTTCCTGACAGGAAGCCTTTGGTTGGTCTGTTTTTTTAGGGTATCAAGGACTTTTTGAAGGAAATCGCACTGTGTGTGGGTCACAGAATAGGAAGCCCCTTAAAGGGGGATCTCTGACTGTGACACATCACAGAAGGTGCAGGAGCTGGCCGCCCCCACGCGGCGTCTGAGGAGCGCTGCTCCGGCCGCCAGGCTCAGTAAGGTGTCAGTGCTGTCTTATCCATTCCCTGGAAATTAATTTTGAAAATACTGTTTGTTGGCCTAGGGCCCCCACTGTAGGTTTCTGTCAGCAGACAGCTCTTCCCACTGAGCCTTCCGCTTGGAGTGGTGAACCCCTTGGTGCGTGTCGCCCTGTTCCGTGGGCTTCAGAGCCATGGCAACGGAGGAGAAGAAGCCAGAGACCGAGGCCGCCAGAGCGCAGCCCACCCCTTCGTCATCGGCCACACAGAGCAAGGCGCGTGCCGGGGCCTCCTGGGGAACTGCCAGGGACACATAGGCGGGACGATTCTGGAAGTAAAAATTTAGGACCATAAGTATGTTTGCCCTTCTCAGATACTGCTTGTGTGTGTGTACTGACTGCACACCCAGCTGGTGCTGGATGGGTCTTGTTGGGATTCCCAGACCTGTCCCCTGGGGAGGGGGCTTATTAGCAATATGGATCCTTGGTCCTGATTGTGAGAGTCTCTGTGGGACCCAGAAAACACCTCTTACTATGCACCCTGCCCTGGCCCCACAATTCTTCTGCCGGGACAGGTTTGCAAATGCATTGTGTAGATGACAGGCAGGGAGCAGAGGCTTCACTACTGCAGTGAGCCTTCAGTTTTGCTTTGGGGAGGCTGCAGTGGCACGAGGGCAGGGGTGCTGCTGGGACTTGTGTGATGCAGTGGGTCAGATGGTCAGGTGCATTGGGTGGGGCAATGCCTCGAGGGGCTTTGCTGTTTATACCTGGGGTGCTGGGGGCTGCAGGAGAAGCAAAGATTTTGAGGGGAAGTACTGAGCTCCAAAGTAGATGTGTTCCATTTGAAAGGTGACGCCCCAGACAGGGTTCCAATAGGTGCTGGGGAATAGACTTGGAACTCAAAAGATAGGTCTGGGGTTGAAATTAAGCTTTGGGACCCAAATCCAATCTGGCAGTCTGCTGAGCTGGGCAGTGCTGGTTACTGTTTAATGACTAGTGTCGTTTCTTCAACAGCCTACGCCTGTTAAACCAAACTATGCTCTCAAATTCACCCTGGCCGGCCACACGAAAGCTGTGTCCTCTGTGAAATTCAGCCCGAACGGGGAGTGGCTGGCAAGTTCGTGTAGGTATCTGGACCCCCAGCTGCCAGAGGCGGTCTCCTGGGAGAGAGAGGGGGGTCCACTTCCTAGAGCTATCCCTGTGCCGGGGCAGCCTGCTGTGTCCGTGTGTGCTGGATGGCAGAAGTCACTGCCTGGTGGAACTGCCTATTGCCACTCCGAAATGCCAGGGCTAGGGGCACTGGCCACAGGGCCTGAGGATCAGCTGCCCCAGCATGGGCGTGTGTTGTGGAAGGCCCAGATTTGGGATTGGGGTGACTAGACTACCCCAGTTCCTTTGTATTTCTTTCTTTCAGCTGCTGATAAACTTATTAAAATTTGGGGAGCGTATGATGGGAAATTTGAGAAGACCATATCTGGTCACAAGCTGGTAGGTCTCACGCTGCACACTGAGGGCGCTGTGGCTCCAGTAAGTGCGGGTGGGCGGGTCCCTCTCTCTCGGCAGGTTAAGATGTAAATCCCTCCCCGTCCCCGGGAATTTGTGGGTAGTTACTTGACTCTTGTTTTTTAAGCAAATACTTGTGACCTTCTCAGACAAGTCTCTGCCCCACTGGGAGGCCTGGCAGAGCTGTAGGGGCTCGTGTCTCCGGGGCCTGTGTGTCAGCAGAGCTAGGGGACCCTGGGAGGAATGGCGGGCGTACTTGCCTTTGGGTGGATGTTTGTCCTCTGCTGTTTTGTCCCACTGGGTGGTGACCCTGTTTTCTCCTTAGGGGATATCAGATGTGGCTTGGTCGTCGGATTCTAACCTCCTCGTTTCTGCCTCAGATGATAAAACTCTAAAGATATGGGATGTGAGCTCGGTAAGCCGTGGTGTGTCTCCCTCCCTGGGGCTCGTGTGGGCGGTGGAGGGACGCTGTAGGGGATGCGGAGTTGTGCTTGGGGATCACTAGTCACTGGCAGCCTGCTGGTAGGCAGATGTGCTGTCCAGCTGTGCAGGGATAGGCCTGATGGTTTTAGCCTGATGCTGAAATTTGGGGAAATAGCACTGGGGTAACTGAGTCTAACAATGCTTGGTTTTAGGGAAAGTGTCTGAAAACCCTGAAGGGACACAGTAATTACGTCTTTTGCTGTAACTTCAACCCACAGTCCAACCTCATTGTCTCAGGCTCTGTAAGTACCCCTGTCCCCTGGGTGGGAGGGGAGGGGTGAGTTCTGATCCCCCAGGTGGGAAGTAGGGGGGAGCTCTGTCCTGTTTGGTGTGAGGGGAGGGGCCACTGCTGGCCCTCTGCTCAGCCCACCTCCCCACCCCCGGGGGTGCTCATGCATCTGAGGGGGCAGGGGGCGTGGCGGGTGAGTGCTGGGTGGTTTAGTGCTGCCTCTGAGTGACAGGCAGGTCTTGGGGTCCAGAGGGTCTGTCATCTCCCCTCCTCTCTGTAGAATGGCTTTAGTGTCTCCTTTTGTCTGCAGTTTGATGAAAGTGTGAGGATATGGGATGTGAAAACGGGGAAGTGCCTCAAGACCCTGCCTGCACACTCAGACCCCGTCTCAGCCGTAAGTGCCTCGGAACCCGGGCGGTGCTGGTGCCCAGCACGCTCGTGATGTTCCCCCAGCGGGACAGCATGATGCACAGAGATGGGCGCTGGGGACCGTGAGAGGTCTCGCAGCCATGTCCTTGGAAGGGCAGCCAGGTGCGGGGCTGGGGGCGGGTCCCTGAGCCAGATCTTCAGGGCAGGTAGGGCAGCCAGGCTGGGGGAGGGCCTGTGGCTTGGGAAGTGTAGCCAGGGATGCAGTGTGGGTTTTGTGTGGAGTTGATCTGACTGGTGGGGTGTGGGTGGGGAGGCCAGGTGACCTGGGCACGGGGGAGAAATCTGGGAGGTGGAGTCCCACGAGCACTGCATGTGGACCATGTCCTGCCAACATGCGCAGCATAAATGTACACATTCAGCTGCACACCATGCCACGATGTGCTCCTGTCCATCAGCAAAGGGCCTGGGGTGGCTTCTTAGCCAGGTTTCCGTTCTGAAGAGCTGAAGGAGTCATGTGTAAACAGGGTGCTCATTCTTGCCCAGCATACGACCCTGCCCGCTCCTAGAACCATGCAGGGGAGTGATTCTAAGCATTTCCAGGCTTGGAAGGTCATTTTGCCAGGCTGAGACCCCCACCGAGCCCTGACAGGAGGGCGCAGGGCACATGCTGGTGGAAGTGGGCTCGTGGGCTCCTGCCCTCAGGCACGGCCCTTGCTGTGCAGTCATAGCGGGTGCCTGGGGCTCTGAGGGAGGTGGCATCCATGTGGTGGTGTGCTCACAGGCCTGGCAGATGCCGTGCTGGTGTGGAGTCCCGGTCGAGGTGACTTGGACACGGTGTGGCAGATGAACACGTGTGACGTGATTAGGAACTGTGTGGAAAGAGCTCTGTCTGCATTACTGTGACGGGGGACGGCTGAGAGGGCCTCACCTTAGACAGTGGCCAACATGTGCTTATTTTATGAAAAGGCAAACAGATGTAGCTAGTAGAATGGTCTCCTGTGCTCCCTTCCGGGCCAGCTGCAGGTAGCTGGAGTCCCCCCACCCTCCAGGGGCATTGGGGTCTAGTGCGGATCTTCCAGCATGCTGCCGCCTCAGTAGCAGTATTACTGCCCATGGCTGCTGTCCTGCGGCAGTCTGTCTGCTTCAAGAATGTTTCCTGGCATCTTCCGTGTCCGGAAGTGCCACCTGTGACCCCAGACCACTGGTGCCGGCGCACTTGTGGGTGGTGGCAGTTTGCCAGTCACCCAGTGGATGCTGGTGTGTAAGGGTCACACTTACATGAGGAGTGCCCCGAGCATCTTTGCTCAGCATTGCATGCAGTATGGCGGTTTCTGCGGCATGAACATAGAGGGGTGCACCGTGTCCTAGCCTGCTTTGGCTTTCGGGCAGGTGTGTCGAGGAACCAGGAGCCTCAAGGCTATTGGTCGGCCTTCAAGGCTGCTGGCTTCCTCCCTGTTCCTGGCCTTCCTCCCGCTTGAGTCAGGCCACTGTCCTCTTTTGCTGGGTGAGTCCTCTTAACCAAAGGCCCCCTGCCCCCTTCTGCAGCCGTGGACCTGTGCTTCTCCTTGTGCACCTGCAGTCCCTGCTCAGAGCTGCTCAAGCTCATCTGTCTACCCGGGGTTGCTTCTGCAGAGCTTTGATAACTCTTTATTTGAGCTGAGACATGGCTTCCCCACTAGGTTCTGTCTTGTTTTTTTTGTTTGTGGCACTTAAATTTTTGGCTTTCTTCTAGAATGTAAGGTATGGGCTGTATTGCCTTGCTCACACCTTGAATGGGAAATTTGTGCTGCATATGCCAGTGGGTGATGTTTGGATGTGTTTGGGAACAAAGCAAACCATGGAGTTGGTATTGCAGGTTTTAGGGACTCATGTCAACCCAATATTGTCTAGCATAGTGGCCTCAATATTTTGCAAATTCAAAGAAAGGGGTGAATGTGGCTAGAACAGTTGCTGTGCACCACAAAGACATGTGACGGGGGACGGCTGAGAGGGCCTCACCTTAGACAGTGGCCAACATGTGCTTATTTTATGAAAAGGCAAACAGATGTAGCTAGTAGAATGGTCTCCTGTGCTCCCTTCCGGGCCAGCTGCAGGTAGCTGGAGTCCCCCCACCCTCCAGGGGCATTGGGGTCTAGTGCGGATCTTCCAGCATGCTGCCGCCTCAGTAGCAGTATTACTGCCCATGGCTGCTGTCCTGCGGCAGTCTGTCTGCTTCAAGAATGTTTCCTGGCATCTTCCGTGTCCGGAAGTGCCACCTGTGACCCCAGACCACTGGTGCCGGCGCACTTGTGGGTGGTGGCAGTTTGCCAGTCACCCAGTGGATGCTGGTGTGTAAGGGTCACACTTACATGAGGAGTGCCCCGAGCATCTTTGCTCAGCATTGCATGCAGTATGGCGGTTTCTGCGGCATGAACATAGAGGGGTGCACCGTGTCCTAGCCTGCTTTGGCTTTCGGGCAGGTGTGTCGAGGAACCAGGAGCCTCAAGGCTATTGGTCGGCCTTCAAGGCTGCTGGCTTCCTCCCTGTTCCTGGCCTTCCTCCCGCTTGAGTCAGGCCACTGTCCTCTTTTGCTGGGTGAGTCCTCTTAACCAAAGGCCCCCTGCCCCCTTCTGCAGCCGTGGACCTGTGCTTCTCCTTGTGCACCTGCAGTCCCTGCTCAGAGCTGCTCAAGCTCATCTGTCTACCCGGGGTTGCTTCTGCAGAGCTTTGATAACTCTTTATTTGAGCTGAGACATGGCTTCCCCACTAGGTTCTGTCTTGTTTTTTTTGTTTGTGGCACTTAAATTTTTGGCTTTCTTCTAGAATGTAAGGTATGGGCTGTATTGCCTTGCTCACACCTTGAATGGGAAATTTGTGCTGCATATGCCAGTGGGTGATGTTTGGATGTGTTTGGGAACAAAGCAAACCATGGAGTTGGTATTGCAGGTTTTAGGGACTCATGTCAACCCAATATTGTCTAGCATAGTGGCCTCAATATTTTGCAAATTCAAAGAAAGGGGTGAATGTGGCTAGAACAGTTGCTGTGCACCACAAAGACAGTCACCTTGAAAGGCCAGTGAGTGGATGGCTACAGTTAAGTAGCTTGTGCTGCAAGACAGTCTGTCAGAACACTGTGGGAATAGAACGGAAGAGGGGAAGCCTCTGAGTGTCTGCCCAGGAGCCTGGCAGACGGGGCTGCCGGCGCATGGGGCAGGGTTGGCGAGCGCCAGCTGAGACGTGCTGTATGTGCAATATGCTTTCAGGTTTGGAAGACACAGTAAAACAAAACGATGTCAAGTATCTCGTTAATAACTGAATATTGATCACCAGTTGAAATGGTGTTTTGGATAGGTGGGGTTAAATGAAATCAAGTCAGTTTCACCTGTACTTTTCTGCTGTAGCTACTAGAAAGTTAGAAACTGCACAGGTGGCTCAGTGTCCTGGGGTCTAAATCAGTGGCCATCCAGGTGTGGCCCTGGTGCTGTGGTGCCCGCAGCGCCCGGGAATAAGAGAAGGGCGGCTCTCTGGGGCTGGCCTCTGCCCTGTGGAGCCCTCCGGTGCTCATGGCTTTGCTCCCAGGGCTGTTGGCAGCATCTGGGGGCGTTTTCAGTTGTCGCACCAGATGCTGTTGGCATCCTGTGCATCAAGGACAAGGGCTCTGCCACACAGGAAAGTCCCATAGCAGAAAAACTCAGCAAAAAGCCATGACCAAAATGTCAGCAGTGCTGAGATTGAGGCCCTGATCTGGACAGCAGAGGCGAGTGCCCTCAGCCCCATCCCATCCCCGACCCACTGGGGGCTGCCTTGTGCAGCCTGGTCTCAGGGAGGAAGTGCATCACGCAGGACAGTTCCAGGGAGGTGTTATTTGTGGTAAAAGGGTTTATCCTGGCTGTAATCTGCCCAGGACTTGAGAAAATTTATGATGAACTCAATTCCTGACACAGTTATTCCTTTTATTTCCACTAAGATTCAACAGGAAAAACGGAAAAACCCAGAGGTACATGAGTTACAAGAAGGGGACTTGTCAGGTTGCAGTTTGTTCATGAGAGTGTCTCTCTCCTGCCCGTCGTGGGCAGAGCTAGGCGTTCAGTGACGTAAGCGATGAGGAAACACCGTGGACAGCCATAGAGCAGCAGCTGTCGGGAGGTGTGCAGCCGCCGGGGTCTTGTTTCCGTCCCGCCTGGAGAGCTGAGCTGGCTCCAGCATTCCCAGTGCTGAGCGCCGTGCACGTGGTGCCGGGGTCCCGGCGTCTGGGATTCGGGGTTCTCGGGCTGTCAGCGGGCAGGGATGCGTGAGTGTGATTCTTGGGATGGTTACTGGGTGAGTGGGAGGCTCTCTCCTTAGTGTGGAGGCGGAGGACCCCCTGGCCAGGCTGCCCTCCCGGTGGCGCCCATCTGAGGATCTGCTCTGGCAGCCGTGGGGCCAGTGGGTCTCGGCCAGTGGTGGGTGTGCATGTGCTTTCAGCACTGTTGAGGAGTAAGTGGTTTAACTACTCAAGCTGTGTTTCAAGGTCGGTTTTCTTGTGGTTCTGTCATCCCTCATCAAACAGTCTGTTGGGACAGCCAGTAGGTGATGATTTTATCTGTGTTGCTCACCTGTGTCTATTCGAGTCTTCAGGAAACGAGTAGATGAAGCGGATGAGGGCTCTGGTGCCTGCTCGTGTGCCACCAGGTGCGCCGCACCTTTGTCGCAAGTGCCCTGATAGGAGGGCTGCTCGGGCGGGATGCAGCCTGGGTCGGTGACTTGCGAGTGAGTTTCTTTTTCTCCTTCCCCTCCTCCATCCTCAGGTTCATTTTAATCGGGATGGATCCTTGATAGTTTCAAGTAGCTACGACGGTCTCTGGTAAGTGAAAAAGTTTACTTGGCTTAGTCAGCAGGCATTCATCGCAGGCCTCCTTGTGTGCGGCTTCCGCTGCGGGGGGCACACCATTTGGCACTGTGGCCAGGCTGCAGGCGGATGGAGGGGCACAGGGTGGCTGCGGGCAGACCGGCAGCCTGGCAGGGGCCTAGGTGTGCTCCTCACTCTCGCACAGACTCTGGAGTGTCTGCCTCAGGCCCACTTGAGGTGTCCCCACCCCGAGCAGAAGCAGAGGAGGGGCGCATGGTCCTATGCGGAATATCCGGGTCCTCCAGGCGGGCGATGCTGGTAGAGCTGGGGGGCCGCGGGTCAGTGGTCGGGGCTCTCTAAGGGGTGTAGAGAGCACGGGGGAAGCCTTTGGTGGGGGCAGGTGTGGCTGCAAAGCGTCAGGCTGTGTGGAGGGGCGGCGGCGCAGCCTGTTGAGGCCTGGATGTCGGGGTGGGGATGGTGTGGTGGCCACTGGGAACTTCCCAGAGGGACACAGGAAATGTGACTAGAAATTAGTCCATGTTCAACAGGGTAAAAAGACAAAATAGAATAACAAAGAACCTATGAAAACAAGGAAGAAATGAAATATAACATACTGAGTTTTACAGTATGTGTACAGTACAGGTACACAGCACCTGTACCAGAGGCTGTGGAGTTTGGGTTAACCTTTCTGACTTTTGTTGTTTTCAAGAAACACCTGAAACAAGGCAATTAGTAAGGCTTGGAAAAGAAGGGTGAGCAGATAGAAAGTAGGGAGCAGTTTTAGCGAGACGGGATTGGAAGGCAGAAAAGACCAGGCGTCCGACGCCTCTGTGTGTCCAGCAGCCGGTGGTCAGAGAGCACGCGTGAGCCTAGAGGACTGCAGACGTCGGCAGACTAGGATCTGGGGCTCGGCAGAGCTGAATGATACCACAGCCTGCTGGCTGCGTGTGGAGTGTGTTGTGTGCTGCAAGCAGGAAGTGGATGTTTTCTTGGGAGCGTGGAACAGTCTCAGGGTTGCTTGTGGACCAGCTCTAAAAGCTTTTTAATTAGAAAACAAACACACCAAAAAATAGAAGATTTATAAAGTTAAAAGATGGAGAAAGGAAAAATAATAGAAAGATTAAAATGAGCTATATTCTTAATATGGCCAATAAAGTAGCCTTTATAAGTCTGATAAGGAAAAAAGAGCAAAGATGAGCAAGATTAAAATAGAAGGGGTGTGGCCCCCCCCTCCCCCAGCTGGCTGGGCTGGGGAGTGGGATCAGTCACCATCCTGAGGTAACGGGGTGGGCGCTAGAGACCTGTAGAGACTGATCCCCAGGGAAGGGACTGGAGAAGGGGTGTGAAGGTCTAGATGTCACCCTGGAAGCCAGCTGGTGGCAGACAATTCCAAGCTGTGTGAACCGTCCTGACCACTCAGAAGCACAGGGAGCCCCCGATTCAGCTGTGGGTCTAGCATGACCTTACTCCCTGAGCTTGATGGCTAGTCCAGAAAGACCACAGGGGACGCTTCACTTGTGAACACCGGTGTCAGAATTCTGAAGAAAGTGTTGGCAAAGGTCTGGCAGTGCATCAGAAAGCCGACCATGGCTGGGAATGCGTCGTGAGTAAAGGAAGACTAATGTGATAAATGCCCGGGCGCTGTTCTCATTTCATCAGCAGGTCAGAGGCCAGCACCCACGCCTGTTTCAGTAGAGATCAGGTGCCTGAGAAAACCTGGCAGCCATTCCTAAGGAAAGCTCTGCAGAGCAGCTCAGTATTGTAGGCTGTTCACCAGAACCAGTGAAGTTTCTAACAAGTGGACCCTCAAAAGCCACTTCTATTAAAATCAGGCAAACAGGCACACCTTTCCCCCATTTTCAGTGTTTCAAGTTTCTGGTTAAGTGATGAGAAGAAAAAAGTGATTGTAAGAAACTGGATGGAGAGTTTTCTCTTTTTATAATGATACATTTGTATGCTTTTTAAAAGTTAAGTACAATAATGATACTTGACAGATATCCACTCAGCACTCGTAGCAGCCCTGTGATGTGGGCATGTGGCTGTCACCACCCCACTTTTCAGTTGAGAAACTGAGGCAGGGACAAACACTTGTCCTCATCTGGTAAGTGACAGCCACTATCCGGACGACACATCAGGCTCCATAGTCTGGCCTCTGAGCCACCAGGCCCTTCTCTTTAGAAACACGGCTGAGTATTTGGCAAGGTCAAAGTTGGAACGGTTTTTCTCTGTATGAGGAGTTGCCAGGTAGAGGATGAGAACAAGTTCCCTAGGTGGTAGCAACACAGACGTTAGGACACAAGAAAGAACGGGACCCACGTGGAGAACAGGACCAAATGTAGCCAAGGGGACATACGCAGAGCGTCCCGCCTGGGCTGGACACCCTGAGCGGCTCCATTCAGAACCCTCCGTGGAGAAGCAGTAGTGGAGCTGCGAGGCCGAGGACTGATGGCACATGGCAAGGAGGGGCTGCCGTTCTGCGCGTGAGTCTGAGGTAGTCTGCTGTTGCCTAGGGGGTGACAGGTGCAGGTGCCCCACATGGGGTGCAAACCCAGTGCCCAGGAGCTGCCCTCAGAGGAGGGACCTGGCGGGGCAGGAAGGGAGGAAGGTGTTGGGAGCAGATGGGAGCAACCGTCTGGCGGGTGGTGAGGCGGCGCTGCGGCTCCAGAGACTCCAGCCAGTGGCCGGAGCAGAGACACCTGGGGAAGGAGCAGACAGGCCAGGGCGTGGGGGCTGCCCCTCGGAGATGATCTGAAGTTTGCGTACCCTTCGGCCAGTGCCCCTGCTGCTGGGGATCTGTGCAAGCACGGCACGTCTGCTATGTGGATGCTTCCAGAACGTGGCATCTCTGGGCGAAAATCAAATGTCCAGAGTGGAGCAGTGTGTTCTGGGAACAGTGGCTCTTTGAATTAAGTTCTGCTGCTGAGCTTAGAGGGATGTCCAGGAGATTGTGTACGAGACTCTTTGCTAGTAAAAAGCAGCCACTCCCAAGTGACCACCTGGGTGGGCTGTTGAGGGTCCTGCGGGGAGGCCACAGGGAGACGGGTCAGCTGCTGGCATCCTCCCTGTGGCCAGGAGGGGCGGAGGGCCCCGTCGTGTCCCCTGGAGGGAGCGTGCCGAGTGGCTGTGTGAGTGTGCTGTGCTGTTCTGGCCCTAGGACGTGAGTAGTTGTAGAATGAACGGAACAAAACGGTAACAAACACTGCACAGAGACCTGCCATGTGATCAAGGATGTAGAATATGCCAAGCAGCTCGTTTTAAGTTGCTTTTTAAAACTGTTTTTTTTTTTGCCTTGCAGTCGGATCTGGGACACGGCCTCTGGCCAGTGCTTGAAGACGCTGATCGGTGAGTGCTGCCCCACTGCTCAGTGGGCCCCCCAGCCTGTCCCCTCCACCCCGTGCCTCCCTGGCCGCTGCCCTCCCCTGCTCCCTCCTGTGTCCTGCCCGCGTCTCCCTGTGCCATCTCCCCTCCGGTCCGGGGCCCCTCGGACCTCCCGCTGGTGCCTGGCAGATCCCTGGTCCTCCTCCCCAGCCACAGGAGCCTCTGAGCGTCCCTCAGGAGGTGTGACCAAGCCCCTGCCCTAAAGCGGCCTCCTCTGCAGGTGGTGCCTGCAGGGTGTGGAGGAGCCTGCAGGCCAACAGCATGAGACAGCAGGGTTCGGGTGACAGAGGGCAGCCCTTCCTGCAGGGCCTGGACCTCAGGAGGGTAGAGTCCTAAGTGGATTATTGTTGGGGCTGTTCTGAGAAGGCCGCTGGGAGGGTCTGGAGGTTCAGTCAGTTTCTGCCCTGAGGAGGAGCCCAGGTAGACGGCTGTGGGCTGGGCCCCCTGGGGCGGCCAGGAACAGGCGTGCTGTGCGTGAGCTTGCCACCCCCCACACAGCAGCACAAATGTGCTCCCGCGTCCCGGGGCAGGTGTGGGCAGGGCTGCTTCCTCCTGTGGCCGCTCTCTGGCCTCTGCACTGTGTTCCCGTGCTGTGCCCTTGGGCCCCAGCTCTCCTCTCCTTACAAAGACGGGTCAGGTTGGCTTAGGGCCCCAGTAAGAGCCTCATTTAATTTAAAGGTTCTGTCTCGAGATACAGCCTCGGTCTGAGGTCCTGGGGTTAGGGCTTCTATGTGAGAATTCAGGGAGGGCCGTGGCTCAGCTCACAGCAGTGGCCCATGTGCTCTCCGTGCTTTCTGAGGCCTCCCTGTTGGTGTGCACCCTTACCTCTGGCGTTCGGTCTGCAGTATCTTCCCCCAGTGGCCCATGCAGCCGCCTCTGCCCCATGGAAGAGGGCTGACGCCCTGCTTCAAAGCACTATTATGTTCACATATGTAATCTTCGTGGCCACCCGGCAGCCAGGTGGGAAATGAGGCCTAGAGAGGTGAATTAATTGACCTGGCCGGTAGCAGGGTTTGGGGCCGAGCTTGAAGCTGTCAGCATCAGGAAAGAGGCCCCCGCCCCTGCCCCATGTCTGCTTGCAGGTCTAGGGAGTGGAATTTCCTGGACTTCATTCTACATCCCAGGGCTGCTCTGGAGCAGAACCTGGGTCCGAAGTACCAGCTCCATCTTGCCTGAGTCACTCGGGCCTGCCTGCCTGGGGCGGTCCCCGTGCCCTGATGGGGCCGTGCAGTCTCACGCCTTCCCCTGCCTTTCCAGTGTCTGGGACCAGCTGGAGGGAGCAGAGGCCCCTGGCACGTGGCAGCCGGGCACAGGCCTCCCCAGGTGGTAATGCAGGATGCCACCCTTCCTGGTGCTCAGGGCACACCAGCACCCCTGCTCCCCCAGCTGCACGACCCCTGAGTTCTCTGCGCACACAGGGGAAAGGCTGCCTCTGGGTGTGGGGGTCACAGTGGTGTCACAGGGCTGACCGTGCCAGCCTCAACAGGGTTGCTTACCCCTTTTCAGCTGAATGAGGGGGCTCTGACCCAAACTCCTGGAGCGGTTGGGGGTGAGCTTTAGACCCCAAGTGTCAGAAGCGAGGGTTGGGAGAATACCAGGGAGGCCGTTTCTCAAGGGCGTTCATGTACCAGGATTTTTACCCAAGTCTCTCCCATAGTGGTCATAGTTTCTTAGTTCAGTTGGGTATTTGCAGACTTTATCCCACATGAGGAAGTTGCCGAGTCCTCTTACAATACCCCGTGTTGGTGGAAGGCTGGGCAGCCTGAGTGATGTGCCACAGGCCCTTTGCTCCTAAAGCCTTGGGTCAGAGGGCTGGTGAGCGGCCCCTGCCCAGGGCCCAAGGAGCCAGGGGCTCGAGCGCGCCCTGGGACTTGGCTCATGATGGGCACTGCGTGGCGGTGAGGGGACGTGTGGCCAGCTTCACAGGGACTCTGGCTGACGGTGGGGGTGGCACCGGTGGTAGTTCCTCACTGGAGGGTCGTGGGTGGCCATGGGGGCTGCAGGCCTGTCCTCCAGCAGAGGCCCAGAGCCTGGGTGTCCCCATCTGTTCCTGCAGATGACGACAACCCTCCTGTGTCCTTTGTGAAGTTCTCTCCAAATGGCAAGTACATCCTGGCCGCCACCTTGGACAAGTGAGTGTCCCTGCCTCCTGTGGGCAGGTGCGAGGGGCCCGCTTCCTTCCAGCCTGGGCTTCTGCTGGGGGCTGAGCCTCAGTGCGGAAGGGTTTGAGCTCTGGTGTTCTCCCAGGCGACTGTGTGGCCAGGGCAGCCCCTCCCCGACAGGCCCTCCGGAATGAAGGGGTAGGTTGGGGGTCCCTTGGCCTCTGTGCTGCCTTCTGCCTCCGCCCTGGAGCACCTGGATTTCACCCCAGCAAACTCTGGGGCAGATTCTGCTGCAGGACCGTCACCCTGTCCAGGAGGCCCTGGATGCTCTGGTTGCCCTGTGTGCCCCTGGGGCTGCACTTGGGTGTCAGGCTTGTTGGAAGGCTGTGTGGTCAGCGCTTGGCCTTGTCGGCTTCCTGTGGGAGGAAGCAGTGTGGCCGCTGAAACCTGCTGGGTCTCTGGACCCACGATGCCCGCGTGCCCTCCTTGCAGGAATGCGATGACTGCCAGCGGCCCCGCAGCGTCCCTGTAGCCGCAGAACTTCATAGTTCTGTCTTGGAGCTACAGCGTTGGGGTTCTCGCTGTGCTCTTGGGTGTCCTCGAGTCACTGGGCACTGTGTCCCTGCCGTGCTGGGCACCTGCGGGAGAGGGTGAGCGGGCTCTGGCCCCTGGCTTTGCTCCAGGAGTGAGAGCAGCAGAGTGGAGTGCGAGGCAGCGGACGCGCTCCTCAGAGAGGCCCCCCGAAGTGTAGCTGACTCCCCCTCTCTGCCTTCCAGCACACTGAAACTCTGGGACTACAGCAAAGGGAAGGTGAGCGGCTGGGTCGCGGGCCCGCTGGGGGGCTGGGTGGTAGCAGAGCCGACCCAGAGCCGTCCTCACTGGGCCGGCTTGGAGCAGGTTTCCCTAGCTGGGGATTTTGCAGATGGCCAGTCTGCAGGGTGAAGGTTCAGCCGTGTGGGTCTGTGGGACAGTGTGTGGAGTGCTCTTTGGATTCAGCATAGGGGTCCCTCCAACCTGGGGGACGGCCTGGAGCACAGGCAGCGGGGAGCTGTGACTGGGCGCTCAGCTGCCTTTGCCGTTCCAGTGCCTGAAGACGTACACCGGCCACAAGAACGAGAAGTACTGCATATTCGCCAACTTCTCAGTTACCGGCGGGAAGGTGAGTCTCCAGCTGGTGTGTCCGCCTCCTGAGGCGCCCGTCGCAGGCTGCTGTATACTCCCGGGGCTGCTCTCCTGTACCCCTAGTAAACGGGAGCCCTCCGTCTCCCTGCTACAGTGAGGTTGCCGTGGGAAGAGCGTGGGCAGCTTTCCGTGTCTGCTGGTGGGCGTCCGCACTCCAAGAGAGTCGCTCGTTGTGAGGCCGGCTTCCCAAGTCGGGTCCTCGTAGGCCGCTCTGTCCCGAGCCCTCCCTGCATCCTTCTCAGCTGCCCTGTCCTGGGAGGTTGGCTGGGAGTAGATGATGAAACGAAGGTGACACGCACCCTTAGTAAATTGTGATTAAAGACACGCAGACGATCCTGCAAGCCGCTCCGTGACGTGTGGGCCCTTGTGGAGCTGAGGGCAGAGCTGGCTTCGCTTGGGAGGGACGGAGCAGGCCGTCCTGGAGGAACGGGAGCTTAGTGTCTCCATCTCAGCCAGAAGAGGGGGCGTGCGTTCGGGGGCTGTAATTGTGTGCCACGCAAATGCGTTCTGACCCGGGCCCTCCTCCCTCGTCTCCCCGCTGTCGGTGCTAGTGGATCGTGTCTGGTTCCGAAGATAACCTGGTGTACATTTGGAACCTGCAGACAAAGGAGATTGTACAGAAGCTCCAGGGCCACACAGGTGAGTGTGAGTGCAGGCCACAGGCCACGTGGGCGTGACAGTCTTTGCAAGAAACAAAGCATGGCAGTGTTCTGCCGCTTGCTCCCACCTCTTGCTTAGTCCCTTGCTGGGGTGGGGGCCGCTCGCTGTCTGGCCGGGAGCGGCCGGGGAGCGGTTCCGTCTGAGCTCCCTGCTGCCCGGGTCCGGCCCTGGCTTTAACCTCTCCATGCTCCTCTTGGCTTGGCTGCCTTGAAGTCCACCACGCAGGCTCTGTGGCTTATGTGACGCGGCCCGTGCATGTGTCTCACATTGGCTGAGTGCCGCGAGAGGCTCCCTGTCTGTCCTGGGAGTTCTGGCTCTTCGGGCTATGGCCCGTTTTCCTGCTGCCCTTACCTCCGGGGGCTTCCCGTGCTGGCCCGTCAGTAGCTGGCGGCCCTCATCGCCCCAGAGGCTGTGCTGTTCTGCTCTGCTGGACCCTTGGAGGTGTGATGGAAGTGCTACTCTGTGTCCCATAGGATCAGCCTGCCCGCCGGGGACAGGCCCGGGCGCTGGGGGCCGGCACCGCGCTGCCTGCCTGCGGGCTCCACGCCCCGGGTGTGTGCTGTGTCCTGTGCTGGGGTGTCCCGGTTCCCATGTGGGTTGTGCACTCACAGGCCTGTCTGAAGCCACACAAGGAAGGGGGAATGTTTTGGTTCATATGCAGGCTATAAATTCATCAGCCTGGCTGACCCCCAGTTCCAGCTCATGAGAGCTGATGCCCTGCCCAGGGGGACTTGCCTCATGGTGACAGCCTGCTCCTACGGAGCATTGGGGGCTCAGCAGTGGTGGGCGGCACTGGGAGCAGCATGCCTCTGTCCTGGCAGCATGAGGCCCGCCCCCAGCCGCTGCTGCCCAGCTCAGGGCCGGGGCCCACGGAGCCAGACCACCGGCCTGCATGCTGCCATCCTGTTAGCAGATGGCCTGGCACTTGGGGGCCGCTGCTTCATGCAGCCTTCCCAGTGCAGATGTCCCCTCTTGTCACCTGCTGTCCTGCTCGGTCTCCCTCAGGCTGTAAGTGGATGGTTGAGTGTGGGCAGAACACTGTTTGTCACTGTCGGTAGACCCTGAGTCCTCGTTACCATGATGGCTGGGGTGAGGCCAGGGGGTGCCCTTGGGGCTGGGTTGCAGGGGAGGTGGCCCAGGGATTGCAAGGGGTTCTCTGCAGCAAGGAGGGAAACGTTCTCGGCTCTGTTTCAGATGTTGTCATCTCAACGGCGTGCCACCCGACAGAGAACATCATTGCCTCGGCTGCGCTGGAAAATGACAAAACAATTAAGCTCTGGAAGAGTGACTGCTAGGGTGACCCACGGTGCCGCGGGAGGGGCTGTCAGGAGGCGGACCGGATTGGCAAGGAGCGGGCGTCTCCCAGGCCCCTTGGCCCAGGCCTGGGGTCGGGAGGGGCCTGGATTGAGCAGAACTGCCTCTGAAGACGGCCTGGCTGAGGGAGTGTCTACCACCTGGAAGTTCTAGAAGTTGCTGATGACATTTCTTGCCAATTCCTCTCATGCCGTCTGGGGAAGAGTCCCTAATTTGTATTGTGTTCAAAAAGTCAACAAAAATTTTTAATTTTTTTATTACAGAAGGGTGAAGTTCAATTTGTCATGAATTGTTTTTTTTCCAGTAAGTGTTCTGTACCGTTTCTTGTACTCTGTTGCTGAGTGCAAGTGCTGTGACCCATCGCCGTGGCCTGTCCCCGCCCGGCTGCCACAGGGGTAGCCCGTCTGCTCGCAGTGGCTCTTGGGACAGGGTCCCCGCTGTGCCCAGCTCCTGCCTGTAGGATTTGTGTTTTAAAGTCTTTCTGGAAAAAACAGCACTGTAACAGGTTATTTCCATGTCCAAACCTTGTGTATCTCGGGAGTTGGTAGTTCTGTGCCTGCAGTGTGATGATGGCACTCGGCAGCGGCGTGAGCTGTAATAAAGTGTAGGATTTTGTGCACAGTTGTGGCAACTGAGTCCTCATGTGAAGCTCGTCTCCACTGGGCTTTGTTACAAAGGTTGTACAGTGGGCAGGAGGTCAAGAGGATTTTTCTCCAAAGACACCCCAAATGCTGCACCCATTCCCGTCCTGTGGAGCCTGGAGCTGTGGGGGAGGACAGGCCCTTGTGGGCTGATAGCATAACTATGGAGGCAGGGAGTGGACCCCTCTGGGAAGGAGTGGATGTTCTTAGTTGATGAGCCAGTGACCCTGGCCTGTTCTGTGGAATGGCACACGTGGCTGGCAAAGGCTTCGGCTGGGCATGAGGTGCACAGGCAGACGCCCATCTCCTGCTGCTGGCTGCAGGACCAGCAGGCCTCTTGGACTCTGGGGGCCCAGGAGCTAGCTCCTTACTGGGAGCTGGGTGTCCTCCACAGCCTTGCCCACCCCATCAGGCTCAGCCTGCTTCAGTGGGGCCGCCTGAGTGCCTGGCCTCCCACAGGTTGGGGGGTGGGCTGGGCCTGGGCCTGCAGGGCAGGGGCTTGTAGCTGCCGCCCATCCCTGACCTGCCAGCAGTGAGGGCTCTGTGGTGGGGCTGCTGTGCCAGGGTAAGGCTGAGGTGCAGGAGGTGCACCCTGCTGGGAGCTGCTGCTTGGGCTTGGTTTGCAGGTTGAACTAGCCCAGGCCTCAACCAGCTCTGCCTCCCTAAGGCCGGGAGTCCCAGGCTCCAGGGCTCTGAACAGTGCTGAGTTGGGGGGCAACCTGCAGGGCTTCAGCTGGACAGGGCCCCCCCAGCAGAGAGAGGCGGGGGTCTGCCCTCAGCCAGCTTCCTGGGAACACTAGAGGAGGACCATTAAAAGGCACCTGGCAGTGAACCGCCTGCTGTCTCCCCATCCTCGGTGGAAGTAGACGCATAAATGGGTGGTGTGTTCCAGACGTGAACTGCCACAGTGCGATGGGTTCAGCACTGGGCCTGGGACCACAGTGCAGCTCTTTCGTTGGGAAATGAATGAAGGTTGTTGGGGGGGTGTTTTGGTGGCTTGGGATTTCTTGAGACATTGAGGGTCTTTGAGGTTCTAGAGTCACAGCTGCCTCTGGGAGGAGAGGGGCGTGTATGTGGAGTGTCGGATCCTTGAATATAGTTTATTTTTTCTACATTTGAATTCTCTGTTGTAGATTTATGTAAAAACACATTCTCTTTTTGAAATAAAGTTTTCATGTCTTGTACCTCTGTTCCTAAGAATGTTTTATCTTAAGATGTAGCTGTCGGGGGGGGGGGTGGGCAGCTGCCACAGCCCTTCACTGCTTGCAAGCCGTGGGCCCTGTAGGCTCGTATACTCTGGTGGAAAGTTTGTGGTTTTTAAAAAATACCCTTTCTTTGAGAGTTACATATTTGTGCTCATTATTGACTACGTAAAATAAATGGGCAAAGATGATAAATCACCCAGATTATTACTGCCACTAACACTTTGGGGAATAGCTTCTAGTATGTTCATTAAGAACAAACCCTTTTTATTATGGAGCATTTCAAATGTGTATAAAAGGGAGAAAATCCTCGTGTTCTTGTCAGGCACTTAAAGCGCCTCTTGTGTTCCCTTGTCCCTGGTTATTTCGGTGTGAGTCCTGGACGGTTTATTTACACAGTGAGTGCACAGTATCAAGGTAATTCTCCAAAAGGATACTTCAGCAGCATTTTCACACTTAAAACATCGTATGATCAAACGTCCGATGTCCGGGTTTCCCCAGCTTAGTGTCTTAGAAATGCGTGTGTGCACACATGCAGACACGGCGGGGTGAACCGGGTCCCATCAAGGCCTCACCTGCAGTCGGCTGGGAGAACCCAAGCCTGGTTTAAGCTCCAGGTCCCCGTTCTATCCTTACCGTATGCGGAAACAAGCTGCGGACCCCCTTCCTGTGTCCCGTTCCCTGCCAGCTGGTGCGGAGAGCTGAACGCTGGCCAGGCCGGTCTGCTTTTTATCCAGAACGTTTAGTGGACGGTGCTTCACGCACTTCTAAGCAGTAGAATTCTTGTTTAGGTCGGTTTAATTTTGATAAACGTCTTTCTGGATCCCTAACAGCCCTGCATTTTAAAACGGGGCAGAGTGCGCTCTGGACACGAAGGCGAGGAGACCCCTTCTCGCCCTCTGGGTTGTTTTTCTGGGGGATTCCGCCAGTGGGGACCTACGTACCCCCTCCCGAAGTCGGCGTGCAGGCCGCCGGCACGCGCTGCCCAACCTCGGGGACGCCCGCGGGCGGGCTGTGGGCCTCCCGTGCCGGCCGCCCTCCGCATGCTGCTCCGAGCCTGCGGGAAGGGCTCGCTCTGCCGAGCCGCCGAGGAGGAGGTGCGCGCTGCCCGGCCCGAGCGGGGCGAGGAGGGCGGGGGCGTGACTCGCGGGCATCACGCGCACGTGCCGAAGGCCTTACCGAGCGGACCTGTGCGGTGTGACCTCCGGTTCAAAGCCGAGTTCCCACACCGAGCTCCCATGGCGACACGGAAGCCGACAAGAACTCAGACGGGTCCGAAAGTGCAAGAAATGGTAAAAACCCGCCGGGCAGCGGCGCCTCGACCGCCTCTCGCGGGACGGCGCCAGGTTCGCGCGCAGCCCACCCAGCTTGGCGCGGCGGGAAAACAGTGGTTAGATGCCACGAAGTAGGTGGCAATGCCTTAACCGTATGCGTGTTGTCAGGCCCGGGGGCCTCTTCCATCCTTGTCAAGGGGAGTGCTAACCTTCTCTCCTTTCATACAACACGGCTCCGCTGCCGCGCGCGCAGGCTATTTAAGGGCCCTTCGGCGCAGCTCTTTTCACTTACGGTGACTGGGGGTTTGCGTTTCAGCTAGAAACGCCGATGAAGGCGCCAGCCAAAACCGGGAGCTCGCCACCATTCTCATCAAATCGTTTATATTCAGTAAGCGTGGTCGTCACCATTCTCATCAAATTATTTATATTCGGTGAGAGCGTGGGGGGGGGAACTTGTCCTCCTTTTCCGCGCTCTAATGTATTCATAACATCAGCCAATCGGAGGCTGAGAAGAACACCTGGCTGTTCCGAGCGTCCTCCGGGAAACTAGATTCCCCCGGAAACAAAACAGGCTCGACGCGTACTTCCTAGGGCTACACGCCTCGAGGACGGTCGGGAAGAGGCTCGGAACTTCCTGCGGAAATGCAAGTAGTTGGTAGCGAATGAGGATGAGGAAAGAAGATCCCCTCCACAGACTTCCGGTCGCAGCCCTGCGCTAGGAACTGTGGGTGCTGGGGGCACTGGGCGCACGGCGCAGACTGCGCATGCTCCGAACCTCCCGCCCAAGTTCCGTGCGCGCTACTCGCTATCAGAGGACAACTGGTTTGAGTCCTGACGTCGGTCGGACTAGCCGCCGCTTTGCCCGCCGCCCACTCTTTCCTTGGGGCGCTAAGATTTAAAGCCGATGCTTCGGGAGCTTGTCGTTCCCGCAGTGTAGATGGTGGCGCGATGCGGCTCTCGCCTCCCTTCCCCGCAACGCCCCAGCCCGAGGCTGTGACGGGGCGCGTCCCCACGCCTCGGGCGCGCGTGTCCGCGGGCTGTGGTCCCGCGTGCGGAGAAAAAGCGCGTGTGAGCGCGCGCGCATGTGCATGTGCGTGGTGTGAGCACGCGCGCGTGTGCATGTGCGTGGTGTGTGCACGCGTCTCGAGTGTGCGCACACGTGTCCGTTTGCACGCTGTATACACGGGAAGGAAGCGCAAAGATCGCAATGGCCAACGCAATGGTGGCGGTGGGCTGCGAAGGTTGTATTGGCATTTCTCTGCTTTTTTTGAGATGTGTTTTCCAAATTGTGCATTAGAAAACACAGACTAGGAATTTTCTAATTGTTAATTAGAAGAAACAAAACAATCTATAATCTGATCTTAAAGATAAAAGTCAGTTATTTTGCCAGCAACAATGGGCTTATTCGGGCCTAGCAGAGAATTGCAGCTCAGGACAAGCAAACTACAGCAAAATCATGGGCTAGTCCCGCAGCGGCAAGGAACTGTTACACAGGAGGAGTGGGCTTTCCTTTTCCTTTTCAACAGTAGTTCCTCCCTGCCTGACTCACAGGGTTCCTCAATTTTCTTCAGGAGGTGCAATGTACATCTTTTCCTGTTGGAACTTGTAATCGATGCTACTTTCCTGTTGGCAGGTCTATCCGGGTCTGTAACTGGAAATTCTCCCTGAAATAGGTTGTGTGGTCCACCTCCTCCTTCTGGCCTCCTGACTCCATTTGAGTGAGGTTTTCTTTAATTTTCACAGTCGGTTAAGGTAGTTCTTATATTTCTTCAACTTTCTCACCCTGGAGACCTGGGGTCAGGGGCTGTGGCTGGGAAGAGCAGAGGTGGACGTGGTAGTCATTGGGTCCAGCTGGTGAGGCCGGCATGGGCTGGGGTAGGGGCTGCCTGCAGGAGGCCAGCTGCCCTGCATCTGTCCTCTATTTTGCGAAGTTTTGAGGTAAACCCTTTAATTACTGGTAGAGAACTAACCGAGAGTGGACAGAGGACTTCTGCTCATTTTTGCATTGTGTGTGGGAGAGAAGAACTGAGGTGACCAGGGGACAGGCAGGCAGTGAGGAGTGGCTGCCGTCAGGCTCCCTGGAGTAAGTGGCATTGTCAGCTGGGAGTGGGTCTTGTGTAGCCTGGGCAAGTCTCTTCCTGCTAGGCATCCTCACTCCCCGTGTGCAGCGTGAGGCCTGGGTGTGACCCTGGAGCCAGGACAGTGAAGCGCTGTCGGTTTGCTTTCTCAGTGAGTCCCAAGGGGCATTGGCCCTGTTGACAGTCACTGCACTGTCCACTTGCCTTAGCTGTCACAGCAGGCCTGGGCCTCTTAGTCCTGGATGTTGAGGGACTGTAACTTCTCACTAAGCACAGACTGCTTGCAGGACTCTGCTCAGTGGCCTTCCACAGCTCTGGTCAGCAAACCTCTGGCCCTAGCATTTTCCATTCCAGACCCAGAACTCTGCCATCTTTTCCCTGAAGGCCCTGGGCCAGGTCTCCAAACCTTGGTGTCATTTTTTTGGGCCACAGTGCCCCTAATATTCCTAAAAATCCCTTCACATTTAACCGGGTGTCCTGATTTTTTATCTGCGGAGTTTGGTGACCCTGATAAGAAGGGAGGGTGTGTTTGTCATTTGCCCGAGAAACGGCATTTCCCAGAGTGTTCACTGGATGAAGCAAGTCGTCCCTTGAGGTGCCCGTAGAAGAGAGGAAGAAACTTGCCCAAGAAATTCTGTGTTGAGCAAAACCACAGGATTCTTCCACACTCCCCATTGTTGAAGAGCCTGGTGGTGGGCCATGGAGCCAGGGAGAGCAGGTGTCATTTAGTTGTCCGTCTGGGTGAGTGGGTTGGTGGGATGGAGGTCTACCAGGGAAGGGGAAGCAGCAGAAGGGGAGGAGGAGGAAGGCCAGAGACAGGGAGGAAGGCAGATTGGCACGGACAGTTCTTCAAGCTGATCCTACCTAGCCAGCTGGAGCACCTCCTGGCGGCCGCCGCTGGAATTGCAGGGACAGGACTTTGATGCTGGCTCTGCCCTGCCAGCCCATTCCCGTCCGTAAGTTCGGATGTCTGCCTGCTCCTGGGAAGCACTCAGCACACATGAGCTGGAACACCTGCTTCGCTCACAATGTGATCTTCTCTCCAGGCACAAGTGGCTGTGGAGAGCTTGAATTTCCCAGACCTATGATGGAGTCTCTGTGTTAGGTCTGGAGAAATGTCAGAGTCAGGGCTCCGGCAGCTGGAGGGAAGTCTGAGGTCAGATCGGACCCCCAAATGTGGTTGCTTTCCCTCCCCAGAGACCCAGCTGTGCAGATGGCACAGGTCTGCTGGCTCAAACAACTGAATTCTTGGCACCCAGGGAAGGGCAGAGCCAGCGCGGAGAGCACCGTGTAAGTGCCCCTCCTGTCCCCAGCACGATCCTGCAGAATTGGGGATTTAGTGGTGGGATTAGAGCTAAATATGGTTGAGGGAATTTGCTGGAGACATCTTGCTGGCAGAATCTGTGGGCTGCGTGGGGTGGGGTGGGGCAGCAGTCGGGGAGCCTGGCTGCCGGCCCTGCTCACCTCCAGCTCACAGACCTCTGCCTGCCGGCCAGGAGGCCCAAAGGCCTTTCCAGGTTCCTGGGTGGTCCTCACGGAGGGGGAGAGCAGTGACATCGCCAGGAATAGCAACAGGCCCCAGGAACTCACGGTATTTTGAATCTGAAGGGCTCGTTGACCCAGGGCCCTC